CACACACACACACGCACACGCACGCGCACACGCACACGCACACGCACACACACACACACACACACACACACACACACACACACACCAATCGCAGCTCCAGACTGCGGCGCCAGTCCAGGGCTAGCACCTACCACAGCTCAGAAGTCAAGATCCTAGAGCGAGAGAAGCTGAAAGCCAGTAAGCTGAGGGTCTCCAAGGAGACTGTTCCTCAGTCTGCACACTTCTGCCGCATCCCAGGCCTACTGAAAAGCTGTGGATGGCTCGGCACCTCGATGGCCCCACCAAACCAGACCAACCAATTCCCACACTCCTCAAAATGTCCCGTCTTTCCCATGATGCTTCCAAACCGTGACACAAACAGAAGAAAGCGTCTTCCGTGGCAATTTATACCTTTGGACAATTTTGTTTTGAAAGAATCTGTTGAGTTCTCACCCGGGAGCTGATCCCCCCTACTGTGACAGCGTACACCTCACTAACAACCTCAGTTCCTTCAACCATTTCTTTCAATCCACTAGCCTGCTGTCTCCCTGTGCTGGCTAGTTCTAGGTTAACACAGCCTAGAGTCATCCGAGAGGAGGGAACCTCCATTGAGAAAATGCCTCCATAAGATCCAGCTGTAAGACATTTCCTTAATTAATGACTGATGGGGGAGGGGGAGGGGGCCGTCCCTGGGCTGGTGGTCCTGGGTTCTACAAGAAAGCAGGCTGAGCAAGCCATGGGGAGCAAGCCAGTAAGCAGCATCTCTCTCCGTGACCTCTGCATCAGCTCCCGCCTCCAGTGCCTGCCCTGCTTGAGTTCCTGTCCTGACTTCTTTCAGTGATGGACAGTGATGTGGAAGCATAAGCCAAATAAACCCTTTCCTCCCAACATTGTTTTGGTCATGGTGTTTCAACACAGCAATAGTGACCCTAACTAAGAGACTCCCTAACACACAGCAGTCAGAAGTGGACAAAGGCCGTCCAAACGGCAAAGAGGAGGGGCTATGTCTTCCCCTCAATACTCTTTTAGTCACAGAACTTGAAGGCACATGACAGAGGAACTCAGATGCTTCTTCATCAGAAAACGATAATAAAGAGATGCCTCCCATAGGGTGACTGGGGACAGTGTGTCTCAATGTGTTGCCCAAGCCGGTCTTCAGCTTGAGGACTTGGGTGACCCTCCTGCAGAGCCTCCTGAAGGGAGGGGGGACTTTAAGCGTGCACCACACCACCATGCCTGGCTCATAGGACAATTTGGGTTTTTTGGGTTTTTGGTTTTGGTTTTGGTTTTTTGCTGTGTTGGAAGATGATGTCTTATTTTCTACTTGTGTAAGTTAACGGGACCCCTGTGACCGCCATCAATCATGTCCATCTACATGTCTACTCTCCCCTCTCATTCTTCCTCTCTCCTTCCTCAAAACAGTCCTCCTAGGCTGACTTTTAGGAGTAAATGAAAGCAAACACATAGAAGCCCTTCACATAATGTAAAATAAATAAGGTGTTATTAGGTTGAAAGCCAGAATAAGGCAATTTCTGATTTAAGAACTAGAGCTGCGGGCAGTGGTGGCGCACACCTTTAATCCCAGCGCTCGGGAGGCAGAGCCAGGCGGAGCTCTGTGAGTTCGAGGCCAGCCTGGGCTACCAAGTGAGTTCCAGGAAAGGCGCAAAGCTACACAGAGAAACCCTGTCTCGAAAAAACTAAAAAGAAACTATAGCTACAAAAAAAAAAAAAAAAAAAAAATTAAAGCCAGGCCTGGTGGCTCATGCCTTTAGCCAGCACTTGGGAGCAGAGGCAGGCGGATCTCTGTGAGTTCAAGACCAGCCTGATCTACAGAGTGAGTGACAGCCAAGGCCTACACAGAGAAGCCCTGTCTCAAAAAAACAAACGAAAAAAGAAAAAGGAAAGAAACTATAGCTACTGGAAGTCATAATTTCTATGTCATTTACAATCCATTTCTTTTCAGAAAACATAAAATACAGTGTTATTGCCACCCCACCCAGAGATAGATATCTGACTTTATAGTTAATGTAGCAAAAGTAATAAAATACTAAAAATTAAAATATTTGGGACATAGCAACACTTAACTTTGAGTGATTAGTTAAAGAAAAAGAGAAGCAGATCACAAGCTCTCTCAGAAAGCCAGACAGCAGCAGCCCAAGAGAGACAAAGTCTCAAACAAACCAGACCTCGCAAGGGGAAACCAGAGGCGCAGAGCCAGGGCAGGGACGCAGCACAGCGGTAGGATTTGCTGGGTATGAGTGAGGACCTGGGTTCAAGTCCCAGCCCTGCAAACAACTAAGATTAAACACTCACATGCATTTGGGCGCGCGCGCGCCCACACACACACACACACACACACACACACACACACACACACACGCACGCGCGCGCGCGCGCGCGCTCTCACACTCAAAGGTAAGCGATAGTCTCAGTGAGAAGTTGCTCTAGATTTATGATCTCACTTTGGCTCCTAGGAAACTGTCCCTAAGTCTGCAATTCAATTAACTGACACCTGAGCTGGGTGGCAACTTTTTTTTAAAGTGAAGCAAAAGAAACTTAATTTTAGAATATAAACAAAAGCTAATGCATATGATTGTTTCTTAACAGTTAAATATATAGAGTCAAATGCATTTTTCTTACAGGCGCCTTCTCTTAAGATCCTTCTTTGGGCTGGGGGGTAACTCAGTGGGAGAGCTTGCTCAGCATGCACAGTGCCCTGGGTTTCATCCATAGCAGCACTGAAAGAAACCTCGAGCATCTTTAGAACTGGTGAGATGCTCAGCAGGTAAAAGCCTGAGTTCAAGTCCTGGAAGCCACGTAAAGGTGTGGGGAGAGGACCAATTCCACAGGTCCTCTGACCTCTACAAGCACATGTGCCCACACACGCACATCCATGCACTACTGCTACTACTAATAATAAATTAAAACTAAATAATGCTTTGGGTGGCTGAGAGAGCTCAGCAATAACACAAAGGCAACCTTGCTGTGAAAAAAGGTCCCTGGAATAAGGCCATGTTTCCCTGACAGGTTTGCTGAGCCTGAAGATATCAGGGGTGGAGCCAGTTAGTGGTGGCACACATCTTTAGTCCCAGCACTTGGGAGGCTGAGGCAGATGGATCTCTGTGAATTCCAGGATAGCCAGGGCTACACAGAGACCTTGTTTCAAACAAAACAAAACAAAAAGACATCTGGGGCATGCTCACTCCTTAGCATGGCTGAGGCCTTACCCACACTAATTTCCAAGATAACCAGCACTCAGCTGTTTATACTCCACCCCTTCACCAGCCTGCCTCTATCAACTCTGCTCTTCTAGCACTAGCTGACTGGGAAAGGCAACCTTCTACCGGAGGACGCTGTCAGGCAATCACCACTCTGCTCATTCCAAACCTTGTGTATCCTAGGCAGCCACATCCATTCTGGGGAGCCCTACTGGTCCCATTTTCAGCCCAAAGTCTTTAGAGTGTAAAGAACAGGGATGTCTTCTGGCAAAAAGACCTTCACAGAGAAAAGATCACAGAATGGGACTTAGCTGCCATCCCCTGCGTGAGGCCCTCAAAGAAGCAAGGGTGCAGACAACCTAGACACAACATGCCCAAAGTTCTTCTTGATGACCATGTTATTCCTTCAGCCCAACAAAAGTCCCGCACACTCATGGAGTTTTGACAGCAGTGGAGGGACACAAAAGAAACAAAACAATGTAGTTAACAGCCAGGCTCTCTCTAAACATGCACTTCATAGTCTCAGTGCAGCCATCTACAGAAGCCTCCAGTCAGTGAGCCTTTCCTACATCTCAACTTACCACTTAAATATGCAAATGAACACTTAGTAGCATCCGACTGCACAGACGGTAACGTTTAGATGAGGTATCCCAGTGGATACATCACCCGGTCCATTAACAAAGGGATGATACCATTGATGTCCACTGAGTCCGAATGCCACACAGCCCACCCACTCACACCTGACACACCACTGCCGGGGGGCGGGGCGGGGGCAGCAGCGCAGTGGCAGAACCTGTGCTCAGCATGCAAAGGCCCTGGGGTCGAAACCCAGCACAGAAAAGGAAGAGGGGAGGACAAACAGACTGGACAACAAAGCAGAGACAGACATAGGCGCACAGGTCATACCAAGCACAGACGACACAGCCCGCCGATAGCTAACGCGCCACGCTCAGCTACATCCTAACTGAGCACATCAACACTCCAGCTGCTCCAGGGACCCGCCTCGGGTTTCTAACGCACAGCCATACTTACTATTGACTTTGTTTACATTGCCTTGAATTTCAGCTTGTGTGAGCAGCTCCTCATAAACGTCCCTTTCTCTGTCAGAGTTTTCTGTCTGAGGATGAGCAACAAGGGTAGAGATTAGCCAGGTCTCCTAAGAGCCCAGAGAACTGTGTGTGGACTTCTCCCCAACCATGACGAAGCCAAGATCGAGTCTTCTGTACATAACATAGCTACATGACTACAGCTAAACACACAAGACCCAGGTCCACGTGATACTAACAGCAAGGGCTCCTCCAGAGCTGGCCAGGAAGGAAACACGGGGTGGGGAACCGCCCTGCCTGCCGGGGGCAGTGGGCTATGCCAGCATCCTTGCCTGAGAGCAGAGGACTTCAGCAGGCACCAGCTTGGAGCCTCTCACTGATGATACAGGCAGAGGAATGGCCTCACCGCCTGCCTGCAAGCCTATTCAGCACCTACCCTGAGGCTTAAAATCCCTGCTCTGTAGTAAAGAGACAAAAACTATATACAGAGACCTTCAATTTGACATGTGGATACCTCTCAATGAACCAAGACATTTCAATCACTGACTTAAAAGGCTAGCTAAGCATGTGTGAAACCTTTTGTGCACTTATTAATGTTGTATGGGTATGCTGGGGGGGGGAGGGGGGGGTAGCATGTGTATGTGGCAAAGAACGGCTCCGTGGAGTTGGTTCTCTCCTTTCACCTTTAACAGTGTTTGGTGATTGAGTGTAGGTCCTCAGGCTTCTGTGGCTTACCTGCTGAACCATCTCACGGGCCCTTGTTTTTGTTTTGAGACAGAGTCTCACTATGAATCCCTGCCTGGCCTGGCATTCACTATTTAGACCATGGCTGGGCTCAGTCACAGAGATCCACCTGCCTCTGCCCGAGTGCTGGGATCAATGGCATGCACCATGGCTGTTTTGTTTTGAGGCAGGGTCTCATCTGTGGTTCAAGCTGCTCTACAACTACTAGAATCAATCGTTAACTAACCTCCACGTACTTATAACAATAGTAACTATACATTTCATCGCAGAGAAGCTAATGGAGAAGGGCCATATCAGTATTTGGAGATAAACTTTCAAAAGAAAACTATTCAAACTGACTTGAAATGGCCACACACAAGTGTGAAATGGGAGGGGAAAAGTGTAATACCAGAAGACTATGTATAAGCAATTACATTTATGGGAAATTTAACACTGTTAAAGGTGAAAGGAGGAAATTCTAGGAAAGGTAAAATGTAGTGAGAAAGAAAACAGGCTGGAAGCCAGCCAGGCATGGTGGCGCAGCTTTAATCCCAGCACTTGAGAGGCAGAGGCAGGCGGATCTCTGAGTTTGAGGCCAGCCTGGTCTACAGAGTGAGGACAGCCAGGGCTACACAGAGAAACCCTGTCTCAAAAAACAAAGGGAGAACAGACTGGTAACTGCCTGGAGTTGGGGTGAAGAGGGGGAGCAGGGACTCTTGGCGGGGACAGGAAAACAAGCACACACCCATCTATCAGAACTCAGCTGTACACCCAAAACAGACAAACCGCACTACACATGAACTACATCCCAATAGAACGGCTTTGAAAAGGCAGATCTACCAAACATGGGAGAAGAGAAGCTCATTAAAAAGATGCTGACTTCTTACCCTGTTTCTAGCATTTGTCGTCTTGTCCTGCTTGGCCTGGTAAAGAGTGTCCTGGTAAGTGGAAGCCAGGGGTTCCTCGAGATTGACCAGCATGGCATTGGGGTTTTTCAGAGCTGTAAATGTGTCGGCTGGAACTCTACGGTCAATAGCTTCATTAATAGCAATGACAGCAGCATGTACTAAAACCAAACAAACAAAATCAACATTCAGTACGTTGAGCTTCTGGACGGGAATGGGTGCACACTACACAGACAGAGCAATACTGTAACCAGCTGTTGCCGAGAAAGATAACCAGCTGTTGCTGAAAAGGATAACCAGCAGGGCTAGAGGAGCCGCCTGGCCGGCCACAAGCCATCTCCTCCCTGTGCACAGAGCAGTTCTACCTGGAATCCACTGGAATGTTCAGCTTGTGCTGAATATTCATAAGACAACCTGGCCAAGAATATTTGCTATGAAACAATGTTCACCCTTAATTACATAGTAAATACCATAAGAATAAGATCCCAAGAGGTGCTGAAATGCAGGACTCACTTTCTAACGTCTTTAACAAAAATTGATAATCTATTTCCAAATAACCACGGCATAGGCTAGAGCAGGGTCTAAAAGTACTTCTAGATCAAAGCTGCTCATGCCGGAGACCCACGCACAGCATTAGCCATGGTGAGCAAAGCCCATTTCAGCCCAGAAAAGCTCCCTTACATGCAGCTTCATCCACCGAGAGCTCATTAGCCAGGATGCCCCCGATCTTGCTGAAGGCAGGCATCTGGATCCCGTACTTCTCTAGCTCGATCTTCATGTTGTTGATTTCCTCCTCTGCAGAAGGGAATGAAGACCCGGTCAAAGCAAGTGAAGCACCTTTGTATAACCCAGGAGATCAGATTCTTCAACTACAAGATGGGATAAAATGGCCTCTGCCTCTAACTGATCAAAGATTAAGAAAATATTGTATTAAAGTACTTAGTACAGTACCCGCTAGACGGCATGTCATCAATAAATGTCAGCTCATTAGTATTAGCAATAGCATCAAACATAACTATAAAACAAGAAGATCCGGAGGACAGTGTTTCTTTGTTTCTTGTTTTTCAAGACAGGATTTCTCTGTGTACCCTGGCTGTCCTAAACTTGCTATGTAGACCAGGCTGGTCTCGAACTCAGAGATCCACCTGCCTCTGAGTGTTGGGGTTAAAGGTGTGTGCGACTTTTACTGGGGACATAATGCTACTCACAGCATTTCCTACAGTAATCCATGGATGAATGAAGGCTTTAAAGGGAATTTAATGACTTTAAAGTCACACTCTGTTATCTCAGCCTTTATAATCCAAATCACTAGCTGCTACTCAATTTCCTTTCTAAGGCAGAAAGCCAAATGATAAAGAATACAACTAAACTTTGACCTTTTCCTGGGTCTAGTGAATGAGCTTCCTGAAAGGAAAAATATTATAGATAAAAGCTTTACTACCAATTTTAAACTCCAAGGCTGACAAAACAATCACCAATTGAGAGAGTTGAACCTTCCTCTTAACCAGTGTTACCACTGTCCATACCCTTCCCAAGCCTCCATCTCTTCAAGCACCTGACTATAACAAATACACAAAATGCTACGGTTTGGAATGTGGCTTACCCCACAAGGGTCCATATGTTAGAGGCTCAGTCCATATTGTGGGGCTGTGAGAGGCACTGAGCCCTTTAAGAGGCGGGTCCAGTGGGAGGTCCCTAGGTCACTGAAGATAACTGTTCTGGGGAAGGATTAGGGTTGTTCTGATGGACCCTTTACTTCTCACAGGTAGTGCTCAGAGAAGACCTGGACCCACCCACCTTTCCGGCTCTAGTCTCCTAATACAATCTCTAGTGTACGTGCTTCCATCAGGCCCTCTGCCATTAGTATCTCACCAACAGGGCTGTCTGGCTCGATTTCCAGTCTCCAACAGTTTCTCTAGAAGGTAGTGCCATGCTTACAACACCCAGGACGTGTGTACCAAGAGCTCACACATTAAGATAACGAAACTGTCATTTTCAGCCACCCACTCCTTAGTGTTCTCCAACAGGTCCAGCGGGAAGGGAAAGACTTCACTGTATAAAGCTCTTTTCATAACATGGAGACGTTTAATGTCAGCTCCACATACTGCCTTTTGACGCTTTACCTGTTACTATCCCAGATAATGGACACTCACATATCGAAATATGTATGAGAAAACTAAACTCACCAATCCTCCCACACCACAAATCAGAGCAGAGTCTGTGACTCCCAGGCTCACGTCCCTCCTACCACACTACAGGGCAGCTTCCTCAGGCCTGCCATCCTCCTGCGGGAGTATTCTAAAGGCCTTCTCCTTTAGACAGGTCCTGGTGAACTTCCCCGGCGATTACCACGAGGCATAGGTTTGCTGCCGAGCCCCTGCCCCCCCTTACCTGTGAAGTCAACCTTTCCATACAGGTCTTGAATCTGAGGAGCCAGGCCCAGTTTGAACAGGTACAAACTAGAAGACAGACACCAGTGTCAAAAGGTGAGGCCTCATGCAGCAGCTGCTGCTCTCAGATGAAAGGGTGACATGGGTGACAGGGACACTCTGCAGAGTCTCCCTTGCAGCGACAGCTCTACCGCGGCATACTTTTTGTCCCGGGCAGTGGCACAATGGGATGAAGTTTTCCTTTACACTCCAATTCAGGTCCCAGTTGCGGCACAAAGTTAATGTGTCATTAGATGTTGATGTTAACGTACCTGACATTCTGTCAGCACTAGTGAGGTCTTTTCACTTGGGTTTCTAAGTTTTAAGTAATAAGACATCTTAAACAAGTCTCATGAAGATGATTCAGAGAGCAAATCTTGTTTCAATAAACTTCCTATTACTGACACAGAAGCTTAATCCAGGTTAATTAAAAGTTTAAAATAAAGTACATCTTATTATCTTCCCTCTTCAGAGAATAAGACTCAACTCAGCCAGGCAGTGGTGGCACACGTCTTTAATCCCAGCACTCAGGAGGCAGAGACAGGTGAATCTCTGTGAGTTCGAGGCCAGCCAGGTCTACAGAGTGAGTTCCAGGACAGCCAAGTCACACAGAGAAACCCTGTCTCAAAACACAAAAAGAATCTAGACCCTAAGCTCCACAAGGGAAGGACGATAAAGCTCATCAGTGACTCTTCCAAAGATAAATGTCTACAAGCCTGCTGTCAGGTTGATTCTCAAGCTCAAACAGATCAAAATCAACAGAGTAGAAGAGATCAGGTATGTACTTTACAGACACTGACATCAGCAAGACATAGGAGGAAGAAATAAAAACAGATCGGAAGGAGTTGGTGCTTTGGCCCAGCAGGTAAAGGCACCTGCCATTAAACCTGGCGACCTGAGTTCGCTCCCCAGGACTCACGTGGTGGAAGAAATGACTGACTCCTAGAAATTGTCCTCTGACCTTGACGTGTGTGTCATTGTGCACACACAAAATAAAATGTTTTGTGAATCATTTAAAAAGGTGCAATAGGGGAATCCAGTTTTGCATACAATCTATAAACCCTGGTATCATCAAAAATAACCACACTCTGTAGATAATCTAGAAAATCTCAATTAATTTTTACCAGGTTTTGCAATCAAACGAACTCATAATAACCTTGTGGGAGCCCGTTCCGGGGTTCCTCGTGGCTTTACCCAGCAGGTCCGAATAGAGGATGATCAGGACCACGGGCCTGAGTGCAGGTGTCCAAGATGGTCTGCACTTGGCTGTGCTGGGGGAGGAGGTCTTTTGCTCCACCCCTTGGCGTCTCTATAAAAACCCTGGACCAGAGACAGTCGGGGCCCGTTGGAATAG